CATATCCCTCTGACGTCTCGCCGCCCGCGCGTCCTTCCCAGACGTGAACGAGTGCGAGGCGGAGCCGTGCGGCGCCGGGAGGGGCATCTGCATGAACACGGGCGGCTCCTACAACTGCCACTGCAACCGCGGCTACCGCCTGCACGTGGGCGCCGGGGGGCGCTCGTGCGTGGGTGAGCGCGGCCGGGCCGGGGCGGCGCGGAGGCTGGGGGGATGGGGGGCCCTCGTCCGGGCCGCCGCGTAACCGCCTCTGCCGCCCCTGGCGCCCCCCTCGCGCCCTCTTCCTCCCGCGCAGACCTGAACGAGTGCGCCAAGCCCCACCTGTGCGGCGACGGCGGCTTCTGCCTCAACTTCCCCGGTCACTACAAGTGCAACTGTTACCCCGGCTACCGGCTCAAAGCCTCACGACCGCCCGTGTGCGAAGGTGGGGGAAGACCCCATCCGGGCCGACAGGGGGTCCTCCGCTGTCCCTCGGCCTGGCGTGGGGGCAGGGGGCCTGGACTCCAGCTCTGGGCCCCTCAGAGGTTGGGGTGCGGGAGCCCTGAGGTCCCAGTGGGCCCCGTTGATCCGTGACGGAGGGAGGTCCTGCCAAGGATACTGAGGGCCTGGTCGGTCACGATGTCCCCAAATGGGTCTGCCTCCTTCTCGCCTCACCCACGCAGACATCGACGAGTGCCGAGACCCTAGCTCCTGTCCGGATGGCAAATGCGAGAACAAACCCGGGAGCTTCAAGTGCATTGCCTGTCAGCCTGGCTACCGCAGCCAGGGGGGCGGGGCCTGCCGCGGTGAGGGCGGGGCCTAGATGCCGGACGGGCGGCTTCGAAGGCAAATGGGCGGGGCCCATCCGGGAGGGGTCCCCCGCGACCTGGGAGTTTCGGGGTCCGGTTAGGGCAGGGGCGGGGCTTATGTTCGTGAGAGTCGCCTCGCAGGCGGCGCCCCCCATACTGGGCGGGGGAGACCCCCACCCCGACACAGTGCCAGGCCCAGTGGGGTGGCGACCGAGGTGAGTCTCCTCTGCCGCAGACGTGAACGAGTGCGCCGAGGGCAGCCCCTGCTCACCGGGCTGGTGCGAGAACCTCCCAGGCTCCTTCCGCTGCACGTGCGCCCAGGGCTACGCGCCTGCGCCGGATGGCCGCAGTTGCCTGGGTGAGCCCCAGCCCTGCCAGTCAACGCCCCCCGCACCCACGCCGCGCGCAAACTGGGGACCGAGTCTGTCCCACGGTGGGCAGGAGATAGATAACGCACCCTCCAGTTCACGGATCTAGTCACTCATTTTCTCAGCGAACCTAGCCCGTGGAGAGACCACCAGGATTTCTGTGTAGGAAGGGTCTTAGCAGGCAAGGCTCTAGCTGCTTTTGCAAAGCAGGTTCCTTAAATTTAAAGAAAAGAAAAACCTCTAAAAGAATGGGGAGAGGCGTTAGTAGTCCCTCTGCACTGTTTCTTTTTCTTGTTTTAGAGAGAGGGGAGAGGGGCAGAGGGAGAAAGAGAGAGAGGATCTTAAGCAGACTGCACACACAGTGTGGAGTCTATCCTACGACCGGAAGATCATGACCTGAGCGGAAACCAAGAGTCAGTCGGTCACTTAACCGACAGCCACCCAGGCGCCCTGGCACTAATGTTTCTTATGCACCAAGAAGTCTGGAGAGTGCAAGGCCGTGGGCCTGGATGGAATGTGGGTGCAGGGCTGGGAGGAGGGGAGACCTGAATTGTCTTAAAGAACCAACAGAAATTAGCCAAGCAAAGGAAGTCAGCACCAGTGGACGCAGAGGTGAAAAACAGCGCTGCATGTGCAGGGAACGGCAAGGTAGAAGCAGAGAGTGGGGGCTGAGGCTGGCTGGTGAGGGGCAGGACCCGAGGCCCTGGGCCTCAGCCCCTGGAAGGCCCCTCTAAGCCCTGCCCAGGAGGTTGGTTAAGCTTCATCCTGAGGGCGCTATAAGGCACCTGAAGCATTTTAAGGGGAAGGGGGACAAGATTCACCATTTGCTGTAGAAAGTTTCCTGATGCTGGGTGTGGAGAGTAGCTGGAGGTCTACTGATGGCTCAGAACACAGATAGTGGTGGATGTGATGAGAGAAGTTGCCTCCGGATGGTCATGAGATGATGTGATAGTAGAGAAATATTAAAGCAGATTCCCCGGGGCTTGTTAACTGTATGCCCAGGTGGGGGTGGGGGTGGGGGATGGGGAACAAGGAACCCTCCAGGGGTCTGGTTTGGGTGACTCTGCGGGTGGTGCTGTTCACTGGGATAGGGTCTCTAGACGTGGTGCATATTTGAGAAGGAAGACACCCAAGTTTCATGCTGGACAAGTTGAGTGGGTGGTTTCTGCCGGCCTCTGGGCTGGAGATGACAGCAAAAGGTGGGCCATACAGGTTGGAAGCCTTGGGCCGAACACGCCCCGCCCCCAACACACACACTCCTAGAACTGTGGACGTCGGGGGCCGTGGAGCCTTAGGGTGCGTCTGCTCAGCCAAGGGGGGTGGGTCCAGTGAGGGGAGCCTCACAGAGCCTTGTGGGCAATACCACATCAGCGGAAGGCAGGGGTCTAGGAGTGGGAGATGGGGAGGAGGGATGGAAGGAGGCCCAAGGAGCACCAGCTGAGAAACTGGGGGAGGAGAGGCTCCCAGGGCAGAGGAGGATAAAGCAAGTGCAACAGAGAGGTTCTTGTAAAATAAGAACCAAGTGGTAAGATGAGAAAGCTCCCGGTGACCTTGTTAGGGTGGTTTCTGTGGCACGAGGGGGTTAGGAGGTGGCAGCTAGCAAGTGAGGCGGAGCGAGACCTGGGGCTGCCAGAATGGGGTGTAGGGTTGTAGGCTGAGGAGATGGCATGAAAATGGGAGAGGGGATGACAAGGGCAGCTGGGGGAGGGGCCGTGGACAGGGAAAGGGACATCTCTTGCCCTAATGGGAGCCAGAGGGGAACGGATGTCATGATTTGCAGGGGGTTAAAAGAGATTCCTCTCAATTCTCTCACGTACAGTGAAGAGCCTGAGTCCAGTAGGAGACTTGTAATGGCCAGTAGAGGTTTGGGACTGCCCAAGGGCATGGGAGCTGTCTAGGGGCTTTCCAAAGGTCCAGGCTTGGGAGGTGGGGGAGGGTAGCCTTGGCCACACTGAGGATGGGGCGGGCCCAGAGGCCAGAGGGAGTGGCTGTGGCCCAGGGTGCACAGTCTGGCAGCTGCCTGCACCCCTCTCAGCACCCAGGATCTGGAGACCCAGAGGCAGGCATGGCCTGCCAGACTGGTGAGGAGGAAGGAGAGATGTTCGTGGGCCCCTGCGAAAGAAGGCGAGGTAGGGGACTTGAGAATAGCAGAGGCAGTGGGAAGGAAGCAGCATCTGAGATGTCCAAGGTGGGGCAGATCCCAGCCCCTGTCCTGAGAGTGAGTGGCTGCCACTGAGGTGAAGGTCACAGAAACTGCTCAAGGGTGTAAGGTCAGAGGCTGGGGCCAGCTGGCCACATGGATGCTGAACACTTCTAGGATGGGGAGCAAGATAGAGGGAGAGAGACTAGGAAGGTGAGTGCCGACAGCAGTAGAGAAGGTGAAGGCTGGCATGGGGTCAGGTGCACCTCAGAGGCGGAGCTTGGTTTGGACGGGGGTTGGAGGTGTGGCCAAGAGCCAGCTTCTGGCAGAAATGACTGCAGAGAAGCATGCTCTCAGGGGAAAGCCAAGCTCCTTCACTGCACAAGGAGAAGAAACTATTGTGTGAGAAGGACAGAGAATAGAGGAGCTTATTCACATGGGAAGAAAGGCAGCCGTGGCAGGTAGGGGAAGGGGAGAGCAGCTGGGGCAGTATGGGAAGAGGGGATGGGGAGGGTGCCCTTTTTGGAGAGGATGGATGAAGGTTGGTGAGGCTTGAGCTCTTTGGAATCGGACATGGCCCAGGGTCCCTGGCAGCACCTGGCCTGGTCACTAGGGCATGGTGTGCCACATGGAGGGCGGGTTAGGGTCCCGTGCTTCCCTTCAGCTCCCCTGGCCTCCACTCTGGTGCTCCACGCCATAGGCACGAGCGGGAAAAGGGTGGCAGACGCCCGAGACCATCCCCATGCTGGCCCTCTGACCCCGCCTTGTGCCCTGCAGATGTGGATGAGTGTGAGGCCGGGGATGTGTGTGACAATGGCATCTGCACCAACACGCCAGGCTCCTTCCAATGTCAGTGCCTCTCCGGCTACCATCTATCAAGAGACCGGAGCCGATGCGAGGGTGAGTGGGGCCTCGAGCTGGGGATTAACTTGTTCCTCCCTATCCTGGGACTTCTAAGCCCAGGCTCCAAGTTCGGAGCTACCTGTAAACAGGTCAGGCACTCCCATGTCCAGCCCGCATCCCTATCCAAGATTGGGCGTGGAGTGTAGACCTGACCCACAGATTGAGTGTGGAGGGGGAGCCTCGGCAGCCTCAGGCTGAGTAGGGTCAGCTCATGAGATTCTCCACCTCTTTGATCCCCTACAGATATTGATGAGTGTGACTTCCCTGCCGCCTGCATTGGGGGTGACTGCATCAACACCAATGGCTCCTACCGATGTCTTTGTCCTCAGGGGCACCGGCTGGTGGGCGGCAGGAAGTGCCAAGGTATGGGGGTATTGGCTGAGAGTTCCTCAGGAGGAGTGGCAGGGAATGACAGTAATCTCCTAGACACCCTGTTGACCTGTCTTTCCATCCATCTGTCCATCCACCCGCTCACTCACCCTTCCACTCCACCCACAATAGCAACAGTAATAATGACGTAGTTGCATGGTGACCTTTCCATGCATTAGTGGACAGGAGTTTCCAGAGAACCTACTATTTGCCAGCTTCTATACTACGTACTAGGAATAGAGCAGTGATCCAGGACTCCCACTGGGGGAGGCTGACGTGTAAATTGATTCTTACTGTTCAGAGTGCTGGGAGCCAAAAGAGGTCTGGAGGGGTGATTAATTGCAACGGAGATGTGACGGTTGAATTGGAACTTGGAACATATATATGGTCCCCTAAAGCATAAATAGGTTCCCTAAGTAGAGAGAAGCATGGGATGGCATTCCCGGCCCGAAGAACAATGTATGTCAGAGCACGGAGATCTGGAAGGAGCTAGTTGTGATTTTAGGGGACAGTGCCCTGAACATAGACTCGGGAGTGCCGGTGTTTAGAATACAGGATGATGAAATTGAAAGATACCAGGAGACCAAACTCAAAGGCCTTGAATGCCAAGCTGAGAGTGAGGGCTCCATTCTGTTGCCGGTAACAGCCACTGCAGGTTTTGGGAAGAATACAGTGAATGTGCACACATCTACCCACATGCACAGACAGGAAAGAGCGCGCTCCCTATTGTGTGCACTTTGAGATCAAAGTGGAAGTTCGGGTTCTGAACTTGTGTGAGTCCCTGGAGGCACA